GAGGGCTGAATAATTTGCAGATTAGTGAAGTGTGCAAGTCTACCTTTTACTGAATACCCAATTACTATCGAGTCTCAAAATTCTCCTCTGTTTCTTAGTGTATGCAAATTGCTAAGGAATTATATATCTCTCTCAGAAATCTATCCCTACCTTTATTTAAACTCCTTTAATTGTCCTGGAACTGTATGACACACTTCTGACTCATTTTCTAATGTGTGCATCACAATATCTTATTACTAAGCTTCAACAAACTTGTCAAGAATTGCTTGAACACCTTGATTTCTAGGAAAATAGTTTTCCTAGGAAGAAGCATACAATTAAACTGAAAATACAGTGACCCCTTAGCGGTCACATTTCCACAACATTCACAGTTTTGAGAAGGGTTTTCAGTTAGTTCTTTCCTATGAAGAAAGGCTGAGAGAGTTGGGTTTGTTCAGCCTGGAGAAGAGAAGGGTCTGGGAAGACCTTATTGCAGTTTTTCAGTACTTAAAGGGGGTTTATAAGAAAAATGGGGAGAAACATTTTAGGAGGGCCTGTTGCAATGCGACAAGGGGTGATGGTTTTAAACTAAAAGAGGGAAGATTCAGACTAGAGATAAGGAAGAAATTTTTCCCACTGAGGGTGGTGAAACCCTGTCCCAGGTTGCCCAGAGAGGTGGTAGATGTCCCATCCCTGGAAACATTCCAGGTCAGGTTGGATGGGGCTCTGAGCAACCTGCTCTAGTTGAAGATGTCCCTGCTCACTGCAGGGGGGTTGGACTAGATGGCCTATAAAGGTCCCTTCCAACTCAAACTATTCTATGAATCTATGATTTTAAATTGCCTCTTTTCTGCATTTTTATGAACAAAATAACCTGCTTACTGCAAATGAGAGCTATATGAAGATAAACCATCCATCTTATTTACTACCTCATTGCTTGATTTCTATTCTTTAAATATGCATCAAGTCTAACCATGCTAGATACCTGCACTTTTCATATTTTGTAAATATTTACCCACTGAATGACACATTATAAGCAGTGAAAGCAAGCGTAATGATTTTTAAGTGTCTCGGTATCTATTAGAGGCAAATGATGAAATCTAGATGTAATTAGTAGGAGGAGTCATGCATTAGGTCATAGGAACACTTATTTCTCTTACTGTTTTCAAATTTTGCTGTTGTGGCACTGGTTAAAAAAAGCATGTAAAATCTGGCAAACCGAAGAGACTACAGCTTCCCTAATTTTCATCTACAGAGATTATAGATAGTATTCCAGTGGGACTTTGGTTTAGCTACTCCCGAGCTTTTTTCTTTACAGGGGACAACTGTTTTGGAAATTCAGGTTCTCTTCTCAGGCATCCAAAATGAGTTGAGCTCCCCGTTTCCTGAAAGTAGGAAGACAGTTAAACTAGAGGGGAGCTACTGGACAGTCAATGTAATAACTGTAATATGGAGACAAAGTGCTGAAATAATTTATTAGACTTCCAAAACCACAATAGTAAAGTAGGACTGCTAGAAACTGTAGTAAAGTGGGACTAATTCAGAAAAAAAGTAGATGTCAGCTTCTCTACAACCAAACACATGATAAGACCATAAAAATATACGGCCCTTTGAGAATACTTCGGGCTAACAATGAATAATATTGCCATGCAAAGCTCACTAATTAACTCCAACCTACACTCAAGTAGGTTTTTATAGGATAATTTATAAAGGATGCTTAGCTCTGAGAACAGTGAGTTAAAGGAAAAGTTGCAGTTTATATAATGAAAGGCAGTGTTTAAAACTGTTCTCATCTTTGTTTATGCTTACTACACCAAAAATAAATCTTCTCAGAATTTATTGCATGCTAACAAGAAAATTTTTTACTTAAATCCCCCAGTTGTGAGCAAATTCCCAAGAGAATTAATTGCACTTCTAAATGAGTATATAACATTTGAATATTAGCAGGAACAATTAATTAACCTCACATTGCTGTTTAATCTACTTTGCAGAAAAACTTGAACCTTCCCGTTCATAATATTTTGCTTACTAGGTCAATAAAACAGCATGTAAGAAAATATAATCAAGTGTCATTTTCCTTTAGTACAGGAATCTACAGTCTATCCATTGTGTTTACTTTATCATTCTCTTAAAGAATTTCATTTCTTTTCGATGGAAAATGCAAATGAGACATTAAATTACTGGTGATAGTTTTAGACTACATCTGCAAATTGAACAGTGTTTTGACTTGACACCACAAATGTCTTAGTTTTGTCCCTCAATTTAGTACCAAATAAACCTTCTCCTTATCCTTTAAAAAGAGGCAATGTATTGATTTCCAATTTAGCATTGGAATTAAGAGAAATTATTGATACACAATGAGCTCTGGACAGAGAGTGGAGACAATGGCAGCCTCTTCACCCTGAATCTTTCCAAAGCATCAATGTTTTGTATTATTCTAAACATGATGAAGAAAATGTCCTAAATTTGTCCCAGAACGAGGACTTTGTGTATTAAAAACAAAGTCCCACATTGTTTCTACAAAAATAAAAGAACTAAGTCCTTCTAGGCTGCAGTATTTATCGACACTATTTTAACAGTTTGTAAAATATACAACAGTTACCAAAGTTGTTTTTCTCAGTATATGAGTATCAAATAAAGCAGAGAGAAAAACAGATCCATATTCTTATTTCCAAATGTCGCTCTGACACATTTACTCATCTGGAAAGCTTTTGTTTCACATCGACAAAGATTTTAAAACCTTTGATATTAACCACACAATTCAAACTCCACCATAGATAATACAGATTAAGGGCATAGTGTTCACCTTACAGTTGCTCTGACTACATTTGTGAACTCCACACCACCACCTGTTAGAAAAACAAGCCATCTATAATGAAATCTCACCCTTTAAATCATTATGATTGCAGTTTCAGAGGAAAAGGCAGACAAAAGAAAATCAAGCACAGGTTCAGAGCGCCTCTGTCACACCTGATAACACATTTAGGCTGTCTCCCACTAAATAAATGTAACTAGACAGACAGATAGGAACAAAAAAAACATTTTTTTTGTCCTGAATGCCACTGAAAACCAGCATAATTCATGGTAGCATTTCATTAGAGATTCCGGTAACTAAATGATCATTTAACCCAAGATATACTTTTAAAGTGCATACATTTGTCTACAATTGCACAAACAGTATGTGAAGGATCTCAAATTTATATCACCACATTGGCTCAGGACATATTTCATTTAAATAAAGATATGCTCAGCAGGATGCTCACCTTGTAGAAGTTCTAAGCTCTGAAATGTAAGAAAAATTTAGCTTCCAAACACTAAAAAAAGCTATTTCTCCTCTACCCCTCAAGCCAGTCAGGTAATATCAGTCATATCAATACTCCGTCACATGCTGTTGAAGGCCTCCTGTGCAGTATTTTAATAGGAAATGGGGAGAGAAGGTGTGTCTGTGCAGGTCACAAAATAAAGAATGAGAGAAATCATTGCCGTCTGTACTTTTGTTATTTTGGTTTCAATTACATTTTCAAAGTTATCTCATATCAAAGACTGGACAGACAAAATGTGTTTCAAGGCTGCAGTAAGTACAATATCAGGGGAGATCTTCTGACATAGAAAAATTACTTCTCTCTCTCCTTCATTAGCAAGTAATAGAAAATACTTGTCTTTCCAGTAAAAAATGTTGCTCTGTCCAGGTCCTTCGTTTACTGGGAAAAAACCCAAAAACCTTAAGTACATAACCTATGTTTGCATCTTCTTCTTCAAATGGAACACTAAAAAGAATAATATAGAATATTTTGGTATATGTCCCTAAACTCTTGCATTCAGATTTAGTGTAACACAAAGGCAATCCTTAACTGCTGTTTCCTTTGTATACATGTCAATTCATCCGCAACACAACTTTGCAAATCCCATACTAGCTTGATATAAGCTTCAATTATTATTTGTAATTATCTCTCATTTTCCTGTAACTGCAAATTAGAGGGTTTATACAAAGAAATGCTGCATGTTCTATAAACCAAAATACACGCTTTTAAAAATGTTCTTGGCTACGATGAACTGATTTGCTTGTAATAGACTCTTATTCCGCTAAGACATCGCTGTCTGAGTGTACACTGTGGGGTTTGACATCTTTTGAGCATCCCTGTGTTTCATATAAGCGTACCAATGATGGGGGTAGGCTTTCCAACAGTTTAAACACAGCAATAAGCATTTAAATATTTAACTGCACAAAAAAAACCAAACAAACCTGACCACCCACGGACAGGTAATTAATCTTCAGCTTCCCTTCTCTTGTCCCACAGTTAACAAGTTAATATGGATCACTTTCCTAAGAAATATTCTGACGGCAGCTCCCTGTATGTGCCAGAGGCATGTAAAAGTTCTAAGCCCTCTCCCTCCCCCACCATTATCACAGAAAGCTAATTAGCTCCTGGTTCATTCTGGTGCTGCTGTGCAGAGAATTTCTACACGCTTCACATTCTAGTACAGCTTCTCTGTGACCCTTTGGTCCCACATACCAGTTATATTGGGAGCTAGGCTTTTCTGGAGAAGCCAAGTATACGTCTTTAGAACCTCCTTCTCATCAACAGCTCGCCACTGAGCTATTCACCACCCAAAAACAATCCTGCGAGCAGTTTTACGATACTGATGTGAAAGTCAGGACTTTTTTCTCTGTCACAGTGAAAATTATTTTGTCTTGTTTTGATTCCTGCTACCACAGTGTATTGAAAAGGGCTGGGATTTCCCAGATCAGTGTTCCAGCCATTCTCTTGAGTCACATCTTGAAAGTAAACATTAACCCGTAACAGTTAAATCTGGTAAAGAGAAACACCTGGGAACTGCCGTGTCATTAGCTTTAAAGATGAGATCTCCTTAATATCCTGTGTACCACTTCCATCCGTCTTTAGCACCATGCTACATTTCTCTGAAGGTATAAGCTTTCCTCTCTTTGGACGAATCCCTAAAATAGTTTTCTCAAAGCAAATTTAGTTCACATAAGCATCAATTAGAGTTACTCAAGTTACCTGAAGTGTATACTTCTGTATTTCATCCAGAACAAATTCCACTTCTTTTGAGGTTGTTAATGAGGCAAGATTCCCACTCAAATTGTAGCAATACAGTTTGGCATTGTCATAGCTTTCGCGACTAGAATTTATGCGGAGGCAGGCATCTCCAATATGACTCCATCCTTCCCCACACAGATGAGCTGATGTAAAAAGCATATGATTAAAGCTGATTTTAAAAAAAGTTTACAAAACCTAAGGGAGTCTGAATTTTATCTTCCTGAGATCATAATTCAAAATACATCCCACACTCATGTCCCTTTTTACATCACGTAAATTGTAAAACACCAAGTAGTATCATATTAAAGTGTATTTTTATGAAAGGAAACTTTTAAACAACTTATAAAATATTTATAAGGTGTATGCTAAGTTTCAGCATAAAAATATCGTTATGACACTATTTTCTGTATTCAGATTTGAGCACAACTAAATTTAAAACATTAGATTATGTACATAATAAATAGCGCTTTAAAGAATCACTCGACCTAAGTATTATGTAAATTTCAAAAATCGAAAACAACTGTCCTAGAATTAAGATCACAACTTTACCCTATCTTTGCTTTACCATCCTAGCTTTGCATTCAGATTTGCCTAAATATAAATGCAATCGGAATGATAGGAAATTCCAATAACATCTTAGAAAATATTTTCTTTTCAACGTATTTCATCATTACTCAATTCAGATAGCTATTAAAAGATGAGTAAGTAATTCAGAGCAACTGCTATAGTTAATCTTTACAGAGATTACACAAATGCAGTTTTAAACTGCACAGAATAAATTTAAGTTATTTAATGAACAATCTCTGTGAAAAAACCTGTGTTCATTAACTTCATCTGGACATAAAGATCAAATGGAGAAGGTCCTGATATCTAACTGCATATGTGTAGTTATGAATACGAATTACAGAGTAAATATTATTTCAGAATGTTAACAGTCACCTTCTGAGAATATTTTATATCAGCATTTTAATATTCACTGCTTGCACAGTATTACCAACATTAGACAATCAAGAAACTAGATCTTATGCCCTATCTGCACAGGAAAATTGAAGTATAATTGAAGTACAATTTATAAGATAAAACCCCAGCTAGCAAAATTAAGTGTCAGTGAATATATAACAGTAAAGGACTCAGTATGGCAATTCAGCTCTGCACTCAGTGATCTCCGCAGGCTAGACCTCGTCACCGGCTTGTGCAGAGGTACATCCCATTATCCCTTCGCTAATATTATCACCTCTCCTAACCAGATTAAAGGTAGCACTGATGTATCAATCAGTGATGTAATTACATCTGCGTTCACCTGCACAGGCACGGCCAGGTGGGGAGAGTCAGCACGGGTAAAACAAATCCAGGTCTACTCATGGAACAAATATTCTTTGACAGTAATGGAGGAGATTTACTCAGTTTTGAAAACAACTATAAAAAGCAGCATCGCCGCCCTACAGCCCTTACCAGGGAGCGCCTGGCACTCCTGCTGCCGCTGGTCCCACTGGCAGTTCAGGTGTAGCGAGCAGCTTTTGCAGCTGGTAAGTTTATTGCAGATCTGTTCATTCCTCACATGACATTTGGTGTAGTTTTTAACTGACTATAAAAACAAAACAGACAAAACAGCATCTCAAACACATGGTAAACTAGCAATCAATGAGAAGTCAAAATTGAAATACACAGAAGGTGGATCCCTCCCAGAAAAATCACAGCCACCTAAAAGCTGGCTCTTTGTCTAAATTCCCTTATCAGTTGTGGAGAGTATGAATGCATCTCTGGAGCACAAACCACCCCACGTGTCCTACACAACTACCTTTGAGTGGGTCTAACAGTAATGTGAAGATGCCACTTCCCTCCCAGAGCCAAGGAAGAGCTTAAATAACTAAATTAAATAATTATTAGATAGTTCAGGGATATGGTCTCACTAAATTATTTCATACACTACAGGTTAAAGAAAGCAAAACAACCAAACAGAAAATAAAAAATAGTTGAAAATAGTTATACATCATTGACTAACGGTGAAAAAACATGCTCCATTTTGTTTTACCTGGATGAAATGAAATAAAAATAGGAGTTATAGACCAGTAGTCATAAAACACAAGAAGGATTTATCAGAAATTTCAGTCATGTCATTTTCCAGATTTAACTGCAAACATGTATGCAACAGAGCTAGTATAAAATTTACAGGATCTACAGGAAATCATTCTGTCAAACAGTGACATAAAACCAGAAATAACATTATTCCTTTGGTACCTTAGTATACAAGAAAAGAAGTAAACACCGAAGGAATTTTTACTTGGGTTTTTTGTTGGGTTTATTTTGGGTTTTTTTCCTGAAAACAGAGGTCTTCCTTTCCAAGGTAGTCATTTTAAATATGAACCGTCTTTTCTCCCACCTGCATGGTATTTTTAATTAAGACATAATATTGATATCTTTTTTAATAAACTGCCCAAAATCCTCGGCCAATTCATCAGCGCATCCATAAGGCTGTCTCTACTAACTTAATATCAACTTAATTAAGAATAAGTCCTAACTCAAGACGGCTTTATAGCATCCATAAGGCTGTCTCTACTAACTTAATTTCAACTTAATTAAGAATAAGTCCTAATTCAAGACGGCTTTATACTCATAGAACCACAGAATGGTTGAGGTTGGAAGGGACCTCTGGAGGTCATCTTGTTCAACCCTAACAACCTCTGTTTTTTTTCCCTAACAACAAAAGATTCATTCATGCATAGTAGCAAAAATGTGAGCCATATGTATGGCTTACATTACACTTCTGATTGCTTTCCTTTCTGATAGTCTCCTGGAGTACGATAAAGCACATCTAAAGGGGCAATATGACAATAAGTTACACAGTTGTTGCTACTGGAAAGATGATGTTGGTAGGGCATCAACCTCCACAGTCAGGAGGGAAGACAACCCACCTCCTTTTAAGTTCTGAAATGATGCAATCTTAAAATGAATTTTCAATCTCACACAGGACCAACTTCATTCTTGCTGAAGAACACTGCTGTTTAGGGACTCGATGTTGCCTTTATTGGATCAGATGCCCATCAGTGAGCTTATTATAAAAGGTACTCGCTATTTTTCTGGTCTATAAGAAAGGCTACTCTGCAGCAAAAAGAACCAGATAAACAGTTCTAGGAGAAGGAATCTACACCACAATATGAAACAGAGCCAAAGGCAATGCCATAAAGTAACAGAATGTCTGTCTAGGCCAATAAATGCATACAAACAGTAAAGCACAAAAAGCCTTTGGTACAAGCCCACATTTAGTTTCACTCAGTCATGATGCATATTCACAATACTGACTAAAAGGTGCTTTAAAGTGAATTTTAGAGCACAAGTAACCACCATCTGCTCATTTACAATACCTCAATACTCACTTTTAACACTTCATGATGACATAGTCAAAATCCTTAAGCATTCAATTTTTTTAAAAATTATATACTGTTTAGTGATACTACATACAGATTAGAGTTTTTCAACTAAACCAAGATACTTGTTCTATTACTTTCTAATCATGAAGCTTGTTGTGTGTTGGTTATTTAATGTTTAAAATAAAATTCAAAGTACTAGTGACTATTCTGTAATAATGTTCTCTGTTGTATTCCCTTATTCCCAGCACTTATTTCCCTTAAATCCAATTTAAACTTTGCTTGCCTGAAAATCTCATTAGTTCAATGTAGATGTGAATCCAATAGGTAATTCATATTAACACATTATTACGGTTATAACTTAAGGTACCAAACCCAATGAAATTCAGAAATATGACAGCCCATCTGTTACTGAAGTTCTATATTGCTGTAGGATATCTATAATGTTTACACACCAGTATAAGTAAATTATGTTATATATAAAGTTTCCCACTTATGTCTGATTTACTTAGATTTTTTCAGTACTGATCTTGATATGGTGGTATATAGACAAACTTATGAACTGCAGTGATTTTCTGCCTATCCACTGTAGAACAAAACTATTACAGTAGTTTATCTTAGAACTTCGGAAATTGCTATTAAATAATATACCTCCCTCTCCTCTTCCTGGATTTTTCAGGTTAACAGTATTATCTTGTCTAGTTTGCCTCGTCTAACTGTAAATTATTAATCTAATAGATATGCTACTATTTCTCTGAAGCTACTCCCAAATCCTTCTGTTGGGTGGTCCTTGGTCTTAAATTTTCTTTTTTCATCCAAGGTAAAGTTAATACTATTCATAATTCTTTCTACTGCTTGATACATTTCCCCTTGACTACTCTTTGAATTCCTCAAATGTAGGTAGATTGCAATGATTATTATTATTGGTACTAGTGTAGCATCCAAGGACACTTACCATGAAAGACAACGTTAGCTTTCTGTAAGATGTGCAACCGTTACAAAAAGACGATTCTTGTCTTTAAGACACTGTGTAAAAATGTTTAACATCGTAGGATTATACCTCTCTTGAAGCATCCCCTAGTATCCTGTATCCCTCAACAAGATTCTCTTTATCGTACTCTTCATGGGTTGCCACACAGATATAAAATACCTTTAAATCACACACCAGTTTGGGCTGTATTTAGGTTACTTACATCAATGGGTGCTTTACCTCATTGCATGTATGGAGACCGACACAAGAAATTCATAGACTACTACTGGATGTAAGGGTGTGGCTGGTCAAAGTTACAGACAGAACATATACCTCTTGTAGCCCTTGTAGGAACACATCTCCCTTGTAGATTTGGCATGCAATAAGGCTTTCAAAAATGCAATACAGACTGGATGCATAAGTACCTCAGCTGTGCCTCTTCCCATGACAGTCTGTCCAAAACAAGTAAATCACATGTCCCCATCACAGACCATATTCTGACCAAAAAAGTATCGCATTCATGTGCTGTTGCTGGTGTTCTTGATCCCAGTTAAGTAGTTTCAATTTATTCTGCCCTCCCATATGTCTGCTGTTTGTTACAGTAAAAGTGTGGGTATTTTAACAAGCTTAACTATGTCAAGAGTCAGAATAAGAGCTGAAATTTTATGAGAAAAGTGGTAGTGGGGGGGATGTCAATTTTTTTTTTCCAAGGTCTTGTAAAGTTTTCAAAAGAAAACATTTACTCTCAATCAACATCTTTCAGATAAAGTGCATTTCAAGCCTTCAAAATCCTTTCCTTGGGAATAAGTTAAGTTATTTGCAAACTTTCAGTGTGGGCAGTTAAAATTTCTATAAACTAAAGGATTATAGGCCAACATTGTAGATAACTGGTGGAGCATAACAGCTACTCTATCTGCAGTGACTGCTTCTATTTTTACTGCAGAGGAGTAAGACAACAGAAGGGGAGAATGAAACTATTTCTTGGTATTTCCTGAAGCTTGCCTTTTAGGACTGCTCTTTGGTGTGGAGCCAGGAAATAGGAAGAGTTATTTTGAGGATATAAAAAAAAAAAAATCACAACTAAAAAAGACAAAGGGAAAACCTTCAAAATCATTCACATTATAAATATCAGAAAGCAGCCAACATACAAATAATAAAATATACATTAATAAATAAACATTATAACTATCCAAAAGCAGCCAACATATTTTCCAGTAACTACCTACATGTGCACATAAATACACATTTTTCAGCCTATAAGTCACAGAATCACAGAATCATTAAGGTTGGAAAAGACCTTTAAGATCATCAAGTCCAACCATCAACCCAACCTAGCAAGGTCATCAACCCAAGTCTATCAGCACTTGAGCGAATCACAAATGTAAGTGGTATGGTACATGTCCAAACTCGGCTCACCCTCCTTTTTCTCAAACACATTGCTTTAAGAAGGCTGGCAAGCAGGATTCATTCCAGTACTTTCAGGGCTTCAACGCAATCACACTTTTTGAAAGCACCTGTATGTGCCTGCAAAAATAAAAGAGCTTTATGGCCATAATCTGGACTTGTTATGTTGCTATCCTTAAAAATGTTTACTCTCTTAATATATGAAGGCTCTCTGCTACTTTATCAACCCATATTTTTCTCCATTTCTGAAAGAGCAAAAAACAATTGATAAAGTAAATTTTTTTACTCTAACATTCAGGCTCTCTGGCCTTTCTCAGTAAAGAAAGCTTTGCGTCTTGTTGCAACTGATGGGCCCTATTCAGTCATTGACCTTTTTATTTACCACAAGATACAAAAAGATTTTTTCTTTCATGGCATGGCGCTTCCCAGAGGAGCAGACCAATTCTTTGCTTACTCTTCCATGCTACTTTCTCAAGAAAAATGATATCTTGTAAAGGTGCAGCAATTTAAAAAACAATTCATCTCTACCTCAAAGTCTTTTTTCACTTTTGGTAAAAACTATAAGGTAAAATTAACAGCTTTTCCTGAGAATGTTTCCATTACAAAACACTGGTAGTCAATTTTATGAACAACACAATTAGCAAGGGGGTATCATTCTCACAGGATGAGTGATAAAGATTCTTATGTGCAGATATACAAGGTGAATACAGTTTCATCAACGTATTAAGCAGATCCAGATCTGGTGGTTATCCTCTATCAAGAAAAAAGCAAAATGCATCAGAATCAGTGAGGACCAGGAAGATGCTGAGGACATTACAGAGTACAAATGAAAGCGTCCAAGTGCAAGATCAATGTAACAGACTTAAGGGCGGTGAACTGCTAGCAAAAGTCAATACAATCTACTCCACAAAATCAGAAATATACCACAAGCAGGACACAGAATTTTTTTTGAAAAAGCAAAAGGAAGAAAGATGTGAGACAGAGAAGCTAAGGAAAAAAGGCACATATGAGCATGACAGGAAACTGCTTCCCCAATTTTAGAAGAGGGAAGAGTGATATGTAGTGCTTAGAGGGACACATATGCAACACCATTAGGTTTTACAAGTCAACCAAAATATTCCCGTTTAAATTTCCATCTTTAATGCAGACATCCAATGAATGGAAGAAAAAGGAGGAGTACATCAATGATGTCGCTTTCTACTTTGTGACAAAGTCTTCTATAATATTCTGTTTCAAAGCTGAAAACAGCCCTGGACTAGATGCAAGAGGCTCCATAGAAGAGCTTGAAAGAGGAAGTTATACAGATATTAGTATGTCGTATTTCATGAAGTGTGTACTTGGCATAAGACAGTATTAATGACAGTATTAGAGTTGCTTTTGCCCCTAAGGCAAACCAGTACCTGTATTTGCACATTTTTGAAAAAAAGGTAGAGTAGGTGATCTTATCGTTTTTAGCATCTATCAAATCTCAACAAAGATAAGTTAAATAACTTTTTTTTATTTTAGAAGCACTACATTTTATTATGGAATCATTTGAGCGTATTATGTAATACCACTATAAGCAGTGTGGGGAATTTCAGTGGTGCAATTTCTCAAGGCAACCTTCAAAACCCTTATTATAACAGAAAAAAAATCTCTAAGAGACATATTTAATGGTAGAAAACAGACAGCAATCTCAAGGCAACCTTCAAAACCCTTATTATAAACAGAAAAAAAATCTCTAAGAGACGTATTTAATGGTAGAAAACAGACAGCACGGCACTACTGCTAGCATGCTATTCAACCTACTCATGAGCCAAATTTCAGTACCATCTTGAACCACACCACATATTTTAAGTAAACTGTTTCCCAGTTGGGCAAGACAGGGTAAGTATTCACCCCTCAATATTTGCATCAGATATGATGGGGTCAACTAAAACCATTGCATGCAGGAATATCCCACTTATGTGAGTTTTTATGGGAGAAAAACAAAATAGCTTGCTAGTGCTGAAATGAGCCACACCTCCAGAATTACCTGGCATTGCAAGCCACTGCTTGCAATTATGTCAGATATGAGTGTACTGATATATACCTTGATGATGCAGATGCCCCATCCGTGGAAACATTCAAGGTCAGGTTGAATGGGGCTCTGAGCTACCTGATCAAGTTGAAGATGTCCCTGCTCATCTAGTCCAACCTCCCTGCAGTGACCTTCAAAGGTCCCTTCCAACCCAAACTATTCTATGATTCTGCATAGCAGTGGAATACAGTGTCCTGTTAACGTGCTGACCCACATCAGGTGGTGGGCATAGGCAGGCATGTGTGTATCGTCAATGCATTAGTACTACTTATTAAGTCCATCTGTCCAAACAAAGTTATTTCAAGAAAATTTCCATATTTTACAGCCCTTCCAATCAGCAGAACAGTCACTGCTTTGTAAATATCCATGACCACAAGGCCAATGACAAACCGATTGCCAACATATCTTTAGTATGCTGACCAGTTTTCATGAAGCAAAAGCAACAGACTCTAAAACATTAGTGTCTGTCTCATCCAGATGTTCTACGATCTAAGTAATAAATCAAGGTCTTTGTACATCTGCAAAAATGGGGCTTCCTCCTTATTATGTTTCTAGGTCTACAACTTGTTATCCCATATTACCACCACAGTACTGTCACAAAATTTTCATTTTGTGGGCCTAGTCCAAAAGTAGGAGTCTATGAAAATGGATAATCAGCCCGATCTATTTAGCATCTCCACATGGTGCCATTCTGTTGATGCTGTTTTGGTGGGTTTATGTTGATAGCTGCAAAATTCTCTGTCTTCTCCACCCAATACACTAATTTTGCAATAGCCACCTTCAACTTACGATAGCAACTCTTTCCAGAAATCATTTCGATGGATTTTCGCTATCCCATTCTTTAGTAACTCCACTAACAGCTTTGCTATCCATTTCAAACCCTGAATAAAAGACAGGAAATGATATAGAGAAGACTGGTGCATCAGTTGCTAATTATGCTGACAATCTTGGTCATGAAAGGTTGTCAAAGAAGGATACTGAACTGAGAAGCTTGTGCTAAAATACCCAGTGCTCCACATTTACTAGGGATGAAGATGGTCTGCTCCTTAGCAACTGTTCCTTGCTTAACAGTTGAAAACGACAGTTAGAAAATTGCCACCTAACGTAGTATAATGTGTTAGGAAAGGAAGAGCCCTTGAAGATCACAAAGGAAACTAACCATTAGAGCCTGGAATGTGAAATCACTGTGAAAGACTTAAAACATGGCTGCTGATGAATCTCCGTCTGCTAGTGACTAGCTATGAACACCAGTGATTAGAGCTGGCTGCGCTCACTGTGAATGGGCAAGATTAGAATCAGAGTCAATCCAACTCACACCTTAATTTCTCTGTCTGGAAAACAAGATTGATTTGCATCAAGTTCAAATCAGAGAGCAAACTACTTTTACTAAAGGAAGTGTTTAAAGACAGGATTTTGAACTCAAGTACAGTCAGGTGTCTGCAGCTAGCTGAAAAACGTAAGGAGGCAAAATTTATTAAGTTAAAATACCATATAAACTCATCAAAAATCAAATGAACAAGCAAAAGATGCAGCAGCTGTTGGTCAACAATGTAAAGTATAAAATATGGCATTAAGTAATATTAAAAAAAGAAAAATATAAACTTCTGTGAATCTGTATGTTCTTATCGCTTGTGTATACGTAGATCAAGAACAATCTTAACAAATCATCACAAGCCAGTTAATCTCATGGTGACAGAGGCTCATATTCCTTTAACAAGATGACAAGTAACTCCATGGCTTAAAGAACAACATTTCTATGACAATCAATGATCAGAATACCAAGACTAAAGGGACTGATGTGGTCCTGTTTGAAAGGGAAAAAAACCCCAACAGCCACCCTTCGTGAGATTCCGCAGTTTCTGCCTGCGTACTGTACAACGGCATATGCACAAAATCCAAGTTGATAATGACTCTGGGACATTCCAAATGTCATTAATTGGGAGGTAATAGTATTTGTCCAGAGAGATATACAGTGGCCTAACACAATCCTAAAGAATATATTAATTTTTTTCCCTGGAACAGATATCTTTGCTGCAGTCCAAATCTGCTCTCTGCAAAATTTTTACTGCAAAAGCCAGGCAAACACGTTTGTGTTCAAAACAAGCTATTATTCATCTACTACACCCGTTTCATTTGCTGCAAGAGGCCTCTGGTTTAACTACAAAACCAGTATTAATAACATCACAGATTTGCAAAGACTCACCATGCTACAGTTACTGTTCGCTGAAATGCACTTCTTGTCATCACACCACTGGCACCCATTTGTGTTGGCAGTACAGCTCGCACAGTCTGCGTATCGGTAACATCTGTCATCTGCAACAGCTGTAATACACATGAAAGTCAAAAAGAAACCCTGCACAGAGAATAGGAGAATTCCTACCACCTCCTACACCAATTACTGTGTTTAACTCCTGTGCTGTTTGGCTTCTTTAGTCTCAGGATGGTGCAAGTTTAAGTCTCTTGCCAGAGAAGCCTTGCTATCCTAGGATTAGCCTTTTGAAAGCCCACTAAAATTTCTGCTTATCCTTTAGTATTGACTATCAGCAGTTTCTCAGATGATACTCTCAACCAGATAACAATTGTGCCAAGTGATATAAAAGAATATATGAAAAACTGACTTTTGGCAGAATATTGCCACCTGCAACAGGAAGGATTTGACAGCAATGAAGCTGCGCTGCCCGCACACCTTCTTCGGAAAGGATTTCTACACACCTGATCTCTTGCAAGTTTAGTTGTAGTTTATTCCCACTGCAGCAGCTGTGCTTTAGAAACTGCTTTAACTTTTGTATTTTCCTTCAGCCTGCCTGTGCTTTCTTTTGTTTGCTTTTTTAAACACCTATTGGTATGATCAGCTTTGTGTAAGATCCACTTTCATCTGTATTACTTTTGAATGTAGTGTCTCAAGATTTTTCTTTATATAAAGAGCTGAAACTTCCTAGACTCTAGATCTCTATATGTCATAAAACTGTACAAAAGCAGATCTTCAGAAAGCTTTACCTGGATAAACTTTTTTGTTATATAATGCACCTTTTTTTTCTGAGTTTGCAACTTTATATGCAGTTCAGAAAGAAAGAAAAGCCAACAGCAAAATAACTGTCTTGAAGCACTGATTAATAGCAGAGCTAATAATTTTTAAACAAACATTAGAAGTAGACTGGCAGTAGATGTAGCACACAGCCAAAGTTTGGTTAGCAATTTTATACTGTGCTGAAAGGAAAGATGCACAGAAAAACAAGTAGGTGAATGTAGCAGGGATGGATATTCTGTTCATGTGAAGTATAAGAATAACACTTTCACAAGCAATTTATTTGCAACAAGCCAAAACACTCAGGAATAGGGTGCAACGGGTATTCATCGCGCCAAATTGCCGTTTTGAACAACATAGCTATCACCATGTCGCATAGAAATTCACATGACAAACTTGAACCCATTTTGACATACTATAGCAAAGGGCTTGTTTGCATCAAGTTTGTTCCTAGGTGTGACTGTGCCACGTTCTATACCAATGCTCCTGTTCGATAGGTAATCTGCGTGAAGCAGCCATGCCTTCCCTCTCTCCCACCGGCACATACAGACATGAGTGTGCCGTACGCCTGTAATGCCAGATACAACCCGCAGCACCCATCTGTGCTCTGACTGCTGTTTTCTTGGAATCAGAAAAATACGAAGGCTTTTATATATGTATATAACATGTACATATATATGCATATGTATATATATGTATATGTTTATTTTTTATATATATATATATGTATATAACACACATATATCCCAAAACAGGAGAAGGTGGAGAAAGAGGAAAATTAACTCAGTTACAATATTTTAAAGCTCACCTTTTTATAAATGCTTCAAACACACTGAGCCAAATCCAATCTAAAGTCATTTTATGCTTTAGTTCCCCAATTAAGTAAATTCTTCTCTTTGAATCCTCTTATGTTTTGTACCCATTGGCACCTTAAATTTGTGCTCTTTGGCACCTACTCCTTTGTATTTAAAATGAAAAAAAAA